CCCGGATTCTTTATCAGTCCCTCCTTTACTTCCAGCCGGCAACCCAGAAAGGTTGGTCTGCCCAGGCTTTAGGTACCTGAAAGACGCCCTCTCTTGGTCCATACTTTCAGAGCGTATAACCTTTTCCTCCGGTGTGACAACCCAGCGGTTTGGCTGGTGTATCCTCCGCCATAGGACCTGGTCGCTTAGTTCTCCGATCTCAGGCCCCAGTTCGAATTCAGCCCTTCTGTAATACCGTCGAAGATCATTGCTACCTCCAGATTCGGGTCTTCCCAAATGGGTTTTCGGTTATGCCGGTTCCTCGGGTTTATTACGCCAAAGCTCCCATTACTAGATGGTGTGACTGAAGTTACAGATTTGGTTCTAGATCCAACTGATAAGCATAGCCGTCAACCGAATACAGGCCTATTTTTCAAATATCATCGCCAGTGAGATTTGAACTCTAAACCTGCCACTTGGAGAGGGTAATGACTAGACCACTACACTAAGTCACTACACCTTTAAATGAAGTCTTCTGATTGAGCAATAATAATTAGTATTATATTTAACATATTTTGCTTTTTCTCTGCTATAATTTTATTTTAAATACTTACACATTAAGTTTATTTAATTTTATATATTTCTTTTACTATAATTTATTTTATATTCGCATTTAATTTACTTAAATTTATATATAAGCATCATATTTATAAAATCTAATTAAAATTAATTCCCAAATCTGAAATTCAAAAAATCAAAAATATTACAAAATTTACTTTTTAATTTTTAAATTTAAATTTATCACTATGTCTTATCAAATAATTCATATAACAATCGAAGACTTATATAATGAATATAACTACAATGGATCAAATATTAGTATTCTATCAAATCAAGATTTTTCACTAAGTACCGATGAAAATGTTAATGAAAATCTTTCTAACCCTATTCTATTACATACCTCAATCTCTGTACTGACATCTTTTTCGCCTTGGCAACATTCTTAGGCTTTAAGCCATCTTAATAATCAGTTTCAAAAAGAAATATTATATATGTTTCCATATATTCCCTGTTTACATTGCTCAATTCTTATGTTCCCAAATCAAGCAATATGAGTTGAATTTAATAATAATGAAACTTATGATCTTCTTAAAGCTTTTCCATCTTTATTACTTACTAAACATTCTAGTAAACCAAATCATATTCCCATATGTGCATCATATAAAACTACTGCAAAGCATTACTCTGCTCCAACATTAGATTCAATCTCAGAAGAACTAAATAATGTTCCAATATATCATTGTTGTTGGCTTTCACCAATCCATTTAAGCTATTCTTTAGGTTGTGCAGAAAGTTCAAATCAATTTACACATTACTGCCACCTCACTAGTGATTTTGGTTTATCAAAAAATATTTGTGCTTTACATTTATATTCTGGTACATTGGGTGCAATCCTAGATCCTAATGCCAATAATAATTGGTTTCATGATTCTTTGCTATATGTAGCAAATTAGTTAAAGAATAATAATTTTTATTTGCCCTATTTAATAGAATAGCACCTCCTATTTTTACTGCTCAAATTCCTGCTACTTTTTTTTTTGCAAGATTAATTAACAATCAACCAAATTTAGTAAATAACAATACATGTTTACATTGTCAACCAGATTTAGTAATACCACCAGAAGACTTTAATCCTGAAATACATAATGAAGATTATCATTACAATTGGTTAATGGCAAGTTTCATTATAAATTCAAATGATACAACACTTCCAATTAAACTTAATGATCCAAATTTGGAAGCTATACTTTTTCCTGACCTTTTTCCAAATAGACATGGTCATTGGGGAGAACTTTCTAGACAAACTCTAAATAATCGACACTGAATTGATACATATTGTAAATATATCAAATTACATATATTATGTCCAGACTTATGCTTTCGTCTTCACTGGTACTAGCCACACTGGTCTTATATTAATTTAGAAAAATTAAGAAATCATCAAAATAAACAACACATTTTATAACAGAAAACAATTGATCATCAACAACTTCCTACAACTGCTAATTTAATTGATCAAAGTATTTATAACAATCGTCCAATTGTAAATGAAACATTAACTACAACAGTTCCCTCATATATTAGAACAGAAAATACTTATTTTCGTCAACGTGAATATTCAATTAATGCAATTGTTAAAGATCTTGGCTTACCTCAAATTTTTTATACCATGACCATGGCTGAAGGGCATTGGTATCACTTAAAAAAAATTTTATTGTATACTGATAATCATTCTACTATACCAACAAATCGCCCTGTACATACATATTTACATTATCATCATAAGCTTAATTCAATTTATAAATTACTCTGGAAAAAACCTAATTTAGCAGAATGGTGTCAATGGTTACATTATTTTGAAAGAGATGAATTTCAAAACAGAGGAACAATACATACACATGGTATAGCTTTCCTTAATGAACCAATATCAACACTAATAGAGCAAAATATTATCTGTGCAGATTTACCTGATCCTATATCCGAACCAATTCTTTATGATCTAGTGCATACTCATCAAATTCATCAATGCCATCTAGATAAATGTAATGGACTACCACTTCCTGGTGAACAATGTAGTAAAAAATTTCTAGCCCTATTATCACAATATACATATCTTGATCCTTCTTCTTTACGTTATATTTATTGTCGAACAAAATAAGAAGATCATTGGGTTATTTCATACTATGCTCCAATATTACTAATATGACAAGAATATTGTAATTTCCAATATGTTAGTTCTAAATCTTTTGCAAAATACATGACCAAATATATTACAAAACCAGAGCAATCTAAATTATTTGAACTAAGAGAACATAATGCCTACCGATCTCACATTTTAGCCTAAAGGCTTGGTTCTATGGAACTTGTAATTCTTTTACTTAGATACTCAATTTGTCATTCTTCTATTGCTGTTCAATATCTACTATCTGCTCCTTCTAATATGAGATCAAAATCTGTTAAACCAGTTTATTTATTGGAAAATAATGAATTAAATTCTTACTAGAATGATGCCATTGATAAATACTTTTCTAGGTACTTATATTAATATTACAATTATAATTAATTAATATTTTTACTATAAAAATAAATATTCAAATCTACACAAAATTTATAAATAAAATTTAATTTACTAACTATTTAATAATTTAATATAAATAAACTTGTTCTATTGTAATTTAACTTAACTTTACAAGTTTGTTTATATTAAATTATTAAATAGCTAATAATTTAAATTTTATTTATAAATATATATATATATTTAAATAATTATCTTTATAATAATGATTTTAACTTTTTGAAAAATCCTTATAAACAAATAAATATCTTTAAATAAGCCTATTAATACACTTTTTAATAATATCACATATTCACATTATTATTAATTTTATCAAATACAAAATAATTGCCCTAGCTCAAATACAACACATTGGATTGATCAAAAAGGTAAATTTGTAATAAAATGAAAAAAATTTTAATACGACTTTACCATTTAACTATTAATGATGATGAGTCTTATTTTTATCAACAACTATTAACTCTAATACTTGAAGAAATGAACAAGAACTACTTGGGCAATATCCAAATTATCAAGCTCATTACCAAGCAAAATTTCCTGAACAATACAGTCCGGTATTTTACCCAATTTGGAAATCAGATTTAGAATATTCCAATCACGTCTTAAAATCTAATTGGTGGACGATCATCCTTATCAATGCAAAACCATGATCATCATAACTTCAAAAAAAAATTTTGCCCAATTTTTTAAAAAAACCAATCATCAAAATACATTTTTTAAAACTTGTAGTTTTAGAATCCACAAGGATCCATGAAAGTTTATAAAGTAATTTTTTTTTTTTCTGTTTAAAATACATATATATTCATATTGTTATAGAACAAATTTATTATTAGTTTATTATTTCATTATTTATTAATTATCTTAGAATATTATTATTATCTTCTATTATTATTAACATGTCGCTTAGTCGCTTAATCGCTTAGTCGCTTAGTCGCTCAGTCGCTCAGTCGCTTAGTCGCGCAGTCGCTT